TCCACACTGAACTATATCCCTAACCCTTTTTATTTACCTTTTATTTTGAGACAGGATCTTATTAAGTTGCTAAATTGCCCTGGCTGGGCTTGAAATTATAATCTTATTCCCTCATCCTCCCGGAGTTCAGGGATAACAGATATGTGCCATCAAGCCTGGCTCATTTCCTACCTTTTTAGTGGATATTTTTATTAATGAATTTTAGATTGGTACTTTTCTACACTTGATCTTAGCCAAAAGGCCGAGAAGCGATTAGATTGGTACTTTTCTTTCATTTTCTTCTGGCTTTCAGTTTTTATAACGTATTGTCAGCTGTAAGGCCTGTTGGGTGTTTGAAGGTAATCTGTCCCCTTGTAAACCTCATCCCATTGCTTCTCTGCCTTTTGGGTAAGATCAAGTGTAGCAACCTCATCCCCACCCCCTAGATGCTTTTGAGAGTTTTCTGTTTTTATTTTTCATCACATATACTATGATATACCTAGATGTGGTTTTCTTTATTTTTATCCTACTTAAAATTTATAGTGTTTCTTCAGTGTGTAGTATTGTCAGTACTGGAAAATTTTCAGCCACATGACATTTTCTCTTCTGCCCATTCTCATTTCGTCTCCTCAGATTTCTCATACACACACACACACACACACACACACACACACACACACACACACACACACACAGAGAGAGAGAGACAGAGAGAGAGAGAGTAATTGGTGGCCAGGCACAGTGGTAAATGCCTGTAATCCCAGCTACTCCAGAGGCTGAGGTATGGGGATAGCAAATTCAAGGCAGCCTGGGCAATTTAGCAAGACTACCTCTGTATGTGAGACACGAATGTGTGTGTATAATATTTTATATTCTGTGTCATACTAGATCTTTTAGGTTGTTTTTTTCCCCATCCTTTTGTCATTCTATGTTTAACTGAAATAGTTTCTGATTTTTCTTTACTACTTCTTTAAAAAGTTTTTTTTGTTTTGTTTTGTTTTTTACTGTGTCTAACCTGCTATCAGTCCCATTCTTGATTCTCTTAATTACTGCATTTTTCAGTTCTGTCATTTGTTTGGTTCATTATTAAAGTTCTCAGCTGAATGTGGTGGCACACGCTTGTAATCCCAGCACTTGGGAGGCTGAGGCAGAAGGATCACTGCGTGTTCAAGACCAGCCTGCACTACATAGTGAGACCCTGCTGCAAGAAAAAAAAGTCTTCAATTCTCTGCCAAAATTCTCCAGCTTGTCACTGTCATTTATTTCAGATGCTTTATAAAATCTGTTTCTGATAATTCTTTTATTTGGCTCTCCTTTGGGGTCTGTTTCAAATGTCAGTTTCTCCCAAAGGTTTTTTGATCATTTGTTCTTTCCTTTAATGTCTGCTTATTTTTTTCTGAGTGCCAGAAATTGAATGTGAACAATGAAGATAGTTTGAGGCTCCAAGTGATTGTTCTAGGAACTTAAAACATCTACATATGATTTTTATAAGTTGTATTATAAGAATAAATAGGTATGGCAGAAGCTTTGAATTGGTAAGAATTGGTAGAATCATCTAGGTCTGTTAGAGAAGTAATTGAGGGAAATTTAAAAAAAACGAAAATCTCCAAAAGTAGAGAGGGAGACAGCTAACAGGGTAAGGAGTTGGCATCAACAAAGGGGATTTTAGACCCCTTCCAGCTAAAAATAATTAAAAGGAGCAAATGGTCTGTGGAAAATAATTGGTGTGGTGTTCCTTGAGTTCAGATTAGGTATAAGTCACTTAGGGTTGACAAGACTAGGTTAGTTTTATTGCATGAGGTACAGTAGTTCCGTTTTTGAAGGAAGTAACCATTTAGTAAGCAGTAGCACCAAGGGAATTTCAGGCCACATTGTACTTTGCAACTTCTTTTGTTTTTCCTATTTCCTTTTAAATTATTTTTAGCCTCAGTCTAAAAATGTTCAGCATAGTTAGGGAGTGGGGTGAAAAACAGAAGCCTCCATGCTTTTGCCACAGGTACCACATATCCTAGAAGGCTCAATGATTAGTAAAGAGCAAAACTCCCAAGTCCAGTGGGCCTTCTTGAACTCTGTGGGATATTCGTATCTGCTGAGTCTACCTCACAGATTTTTTGTAAAGATTTAATAGAATGTGTGGAATATTTACAAAATGAGTACAAATATAGGCTGGCTAATAATCACGTGACTGGCAGAGAATTGAATAATTTATAATTACACTGAAGGAAAATATTTAAAATCAATAACTTACTATATATACATTTAATTTATTCATATAATTTAATTGAGTTAAATAAAATTTATGTGTGAACTGTGGTATAGCAGCATCAGCAGTTAATATTATATTTTTTGGCCTGAGGGTTTATTCATACATTTTCATTATCTTTGAGAAAATGATTTCTTTTTGAAAAAGAAATAAAATATTATAAAAACAAATGAATAGTCATATATAAACTTAAACTTTTGGTTTCTATTTAGATTCTACAATAAATTTTAAACATTGTAGATGTGGAATATTATGTATCATTTGATCTATAACAAAATTAAAACAACTCAGTACTAAAGGAATATGGTAATACATAGGCAAAGCATACTAAAACTTTTAAACTAAAGTATAAAATTGTTTCTCTGTCTCTAGGCAAAATTTGGCTTCTCTGATATTACTGGAATTGATTATTCTCCTTCTGCAATTCAGCTTTCTGGAAGTATTATAGAGAAAGAAGGGTTATCTAACATTAAACTGAAGGTAACTACTATTTAAATTACTATAATATTTTATTTGTAATAGAAGTTATAAAGCTTAAATGTTTCTAAAATACACTAATCTGTTGACATCTTAGAACTTACAAATTTGGGGCTGGTGATTTAGCTCAGTGGTTTCTGCCGCCTGCTGTGCAAGCGCAAGGACCCGAGTTCAATCCCCGGTACCAAAAAAAAAAAAGAACTTATAAATTAATAATCAATCATAAGTAATCTAAATTGAAACATTTGACAGTAATTGCATTAAAAATTCACCTGGGTGTGGTGGCACATGCCTGTAATCCCGGTACTCTGGAGGCTGAGGCTGGAGGATTGTGGTGAGTTCAAGGCTAACCTGGGCCACATAGTGAGTTCAAGGCCAGCCTGAACTATGTAGCAAGAGCCTGTCTCTAAAAAAAAAAAAATCACTTTAGAGAAATTACTCCTCTTCTTAAATAAGTATGTGTTCATACACTATCTCCCTCAGTGTTTGCAAGAACATACAAATAATACCTCACTATGGATTAACCATATGAAAAAGTTTTAAATGCTTAATATAGTGTAATGTTGCCAAAAATCATTTTTCTTGTGTCCTAAGATCTGTGAGATAAAGACTGCTAACTTTGTGTTTCTAGTCCAGTCTTCTCATCTGAGCTTTAGAAGTGTATAAAAGATGCCTATAGCTGGGGATTTAACTCAGTGGTTTTGCCACCTGCTGCGCAAGCACAAGGACCCGAGTTCGATCCCCAGTACCAAAAAAAAAAAAA